GTAAAGGATAAGTGCTCGTTCAAATAAAGGAGACTTGCTCACCTGATCCCACCTGCTTCCTACGGGTTAGTAGACCTCGTATCTCTTCTCCCCCGGGCTCCGGTGGTCTAAGAACCATCATTACATCTTATGCAAGTCCACTTGCTTGCATTAGACATAAGGATGCCGAGGGACATTCCACAGCTAAAGAGGAGGGAGAGAGAGGTGAGTGCCGACAATCCCGAGAGGATCAGGTGAGTATATCTGCTTTATTTAAATCCCCGAGACAAAACAGGCAGTATGGGGGTATCGTTGCGAGTGCACGTTTGTGAATTTCCCAAAGTTCCTCCTTAAATGTTCCTAGAGACTTGTACCGTAAATATTGCCTGACAGAGAACCTGCTCTTAGAAGGAGAGAGCAGAGAGATGAGCTGATCCGTCAGTTGGTGCTCCTTCACTGTCCAGTCACGTGCTGGGGGGCAGGGCATGTGACCTAGCTAGAGAAAATATGAATAACAACTTTACCTAACCTACCAAATATAGATACACTTTAATATAGTCTGGATCTAGTGTATACTTTGTATCAAGTATTCTTATTCATTATGTTTTTATTTCCTTCGCAGAATTCCTATGTGGCAAAGTTTATCGGGAACGGAAGGTTCATAGATGTTCTTGACACAATGGTTGACCACCACACCACTCCTTCCCTCTCGCCCCTCTCCATTCAGAATGTGACCAATCAAACGAGCAACATTTGCGTCTTCGATGAGGACTTCAAGTACTTCTTGCTGCCGGTGTCCTACAGCGCGGTCCTCATTCTGGGGCTGCCCCTGAACCTCACGGCCATTTGGGTTTTCTTTGCCAAAATGAGACCCTGGAGCCCCACCACCGTCTATATGTTTAACCTGGCCCTGGCGGACACGCTGTATCTGCTGTCCCTGCCCACCCTGGTCTACTACTACGCCGATCACAACAACTGGCCCTTCGGAGAAGTGTTGTGCAAGTCGATGCGCTTCCTGTTCTACACCAACCTCTACTGCAGCATCCTGTTCCTCACCTGCATTAGCATCCACAGATATATGGGAGTTTGCCATCCCCTCTTTTCCCTGCAAAGGATGAAGGCGAGGTACGCTCATATGTTCTGTGTTGGCGTATGGATCTCAGTCAGCGCTTGCCTGATCCCCAATCTTATCTTCGTCACTGTCAGCCCCAGAGGCAATGACACCTTATGTCATGACACCACAAGGCCTGAGGACTTTAAAAATTACGTTGAATACAGCACGGCTGTCATGACTCTCTTGTTTGGCCTACCATTCTTGGTGATTGCAGTATGCTATGGGCTCATATCTAGGGAGCTGATGAAGCCAATGGTCAACGGGAACTGTCAGACTCTACCTACCTACAAGAGAAAGTCCATCAAGACCATCATCATAGTATTCACGGTGTTCATTATTTGCTTTTTGCCCTTCCACATTACACGCACAATCTACTATTATGCCCGGCTCTCGGATGTGGACTGTAAATTGTTAAATATTATAAACTTAAGCTATAAGATAACCCGCCCGTTGGCGAGCTCCAACAGCTGCTTCGACCCCATTTTTTACTTCCTGGCCAGTGATAATTACCAAAAGAGATTGGTCAACATGGTGACAAGTATCTCGAACATGTGTAGGAGACATCTGCCTGTCATCCATCGAGGGCCAACAACCTACAAAAGTGATGGCCCAGCCGTGATCAACGTCCAAGGGGTACAAAATATCAGGAGCTTGGGAAACCTCCTGGATAATAACCAAGAAGCCAACCATCCAGATGAAACAGAAGTAGCAAGGGGTGCTAACAGTAGGAACAATGGACAAACGTCCGCGGAACATGGGGGCGACGATGGCAAAGCCAAATGGAGAATTGCAGGAAAAAAGCTAAAAGCAGATGGAAACATTGGGATGGGTGTAGCAGAAGACAATGGAGGTGAGACCAGGAAAGACGAGGGAAATGTTGTAGAGGGAATACAGGTATTAGCATGTAATGATGTCGATATAAAGATTTTAAGGACACAAAGTGACAATATAGCAGAGAGGAAAAGGAACAAAGCAAATGGTGAAAAGAGACGGTACTGGAGTTTAAGGGGGATTAGGGGGGCTGAGGAATCTCAAAATAAAACCTTTGAAAGTTGCTTATACGAAGGAGAGGGGACCTCATCCTGGAATCTTCTAGACACAGCCAGTCAAGGAAGACAGAGCTTGTACAACGAAGAAGGCAATTCCAAGAGGAAGAAGCTGCATTTCCTCCCAAACATCTAAATAGCAGCTTGTCAGATCATTCTTAATGTCTAACACTCACTATGGCCAAAAGTATGGGGACCTCTCCAAAGTTCAGGTGTCTAATGTGAAGGTTCTGGTAAAACTCCATCATACAAAGACATTGTAGACAATTGTACTCTTCCAACCTTGTGGTCACAGTTTGGTGAAGACCCTTTTCTGTTCCACCATGACTGTCCCCTGTGTACAAAGCCAGCTCCATACAGACACGGTGTGACCAGTTTGGTGAAGACCCTTTTCTGTTCCACCATGACTGTCCCTTGTCTACAAAGCCAGCTCCATAAAGACATGGTGTGACCAGTTTGGTGAAGACCCTTTTCTGTTCCACCATGACTGTCCCCTGTGTACAAAGCCAGCTCCATAAAGACATGGTGTGATCAGTTTGGTGTGGAGGAACTCGAGTGTCCTGCACAGAGCCCTGACCTCAACCCTACTGTACACCTTTGGGATGAATTGGAAATATATAGACTTTGACTGTTTTTGTGGTCTACCCATTGCAATGCCATAGGCATCACTTCCTGTGACCTTGACAATGACCAGTATTGGAGCTTGGGTGGAGAAACCACCCAGAGAGGACCAGAGGAGCAACAGTAGACTAACCCTTGTATGAGGGGGGACATCACTTCCTCCAGTGTAAAGTAAAGGCAGGTTCATGTACTGTATGGCCAAAAGTAAGTAGACACACCTCTAAATGAGCTAGTTGTAGACAATTGTGCTCTTACAGCCTTGTGGTCACAGTTTGGTGAAGACTCTTTTTTCTTCCACCATGACTGATCCCTGTGTACAAAGCCAGCTCCATAAAGACATGTTGTGACCAGTTTGGTGTTGAGTAAGGATGGTCCGCCGGTTCGATTCGAACACAAGTTCGAATTGAACATCGGCTGTTCAAGCGTTCGCCGAACGTTATGGGATGTTCGCGGTCTGTTTGATTAATTAAAGGGGTAACCCGATGCAAATAAGCCCCCTAGCCCGCAGACCCCCACAACCACTGGGTCAGGGTTGTGGGGACGAGGTCCTTGTCCACATCGGCACGCTCATCCCCCCTCCCCCTTTCTGGCCCTGCCACGCCTATGCCCTGATCAAGGGTCTGGTATGGAATTTTAGGGAGGACCCCACGTTTCCCCCCTGCATTTTTGGGGGTGGGTTCCTCCTTAAAATTCCTACCAGACCTTAAGGGCCTGGTAGGGACTTTAAGGGGGAACCCCACACTTTAAAAAAAACAAACAAATGGTCCCTCCTAACATTCCTACCAGACCTAAAGGGTCTGGAATTGTTTATGAGGGGGAACTGCACACTTTAAGAGTTTAAAAAAAAAAAAAAATTTTTTTTATTTTTTAGAAATGTCTGTTTTGCTGCAGCAGGTTCTATACATCGTACAGATGCGCCACTTCACATGCAGGTTAAGGGGACCCCCAGGCACTATATTTGAAGGAATTTTTCATTTTTATTCTTATCCTTTAAGTGATGTTAAAATCACTGTTCCTTTAAAAACGTTTTGTTTTTGTTTGTTTTTTTCATTGAATCCTGTTGTATGGGGTTGGGGGGGGGGGGGGGGTACAACTGCGTATAATTGGCCAAGGGGCAAATCTATATTAATGCCCATGGTTTTGAAATGCGATGTCCAATTAGTTCATATAGGGGTGATTGTAAGGTTCTCACAAACTTTTGGCCATATAGTGTAGAGTTCAGAGAAAACAAATAAGACCACAGAGAGACAGTTGAATGAATGTAAGTCTTGTATATGACATCACCATAACATTCCATACAAGGACCTGGACAACCAACCATGGCTTCCTCAGTGCTTTATCCTGCCCTATAACTGCCATGCCGGCAGCATTCTCTCTAAGTTGTATAAATTGTGTCACAACATCCTGCCAACCAAAGTTTGTATTTGAAAATAAAAATATTTTTTACCTTTCTACTTTCAAAGCTATTCACTATACTCAAAGTCTGAGGGGAGTACTGGTCCTCAAACCTGACATAATGAAGGAGCAGTATATATTATATATTATTCTATTTCTTATTCATTATGCTGCTAATTCTACCAGCCTTAAAGTGTCAGTAATATCAGATTTAAGGATTCACTGGCGATCCTGCCATGGGGGTCCTTTTTCAGGCATTTCCTGTAACAGGGTGACAACGCCCTGTCCCTGTCTCCCAATTGTGCTCCTGTGCTGTTGCCCTGTCACAAAGCAGGAGCACCTTTGGGAGATGGTCTACACACTTTTTAGGTATATAAGGGGGGGGGGTTAATACTTACGCTTGAGCCTCCGAACCCCTTGGCCCAAGAAAGCTCTGCACCCTCTGCACCTCCTCTAGCTGCACTCTGGACCCCAACACTTAGCTTAGTTTTCCTAATCAGATATATGTCTATGTGCCATTGTAATGTTCCCATGCCTAGTCCATATCAGCAAGCGCGTTTATCTAAAATACGAGCGCTCGTACCTGAGTGTCATCCATTACAATCCCAATTTTCTCTTCTCCAAAATCAACTGAATTTTTGTTTTCTGAAAACTTCTTCAGAAATGTCTGCAAAATTTCACCAATTTGACTAAATGCATTGGATACAACATCCTATACCGCACCCACCAGCCTTCTGATCTGTTCCCCTTCAGTCTTAGAATACTTTCCCAGCCTTTTCAGTTTTTTTCTCTTCTTTGTCAGTTCCTGCTTTTATCACTCGGCTGTTAATATCTCCATGGCGACAGGCCAGAAATCTGAAGCCCGGACTTTAGTCCTAATAAAATGGTCCCTGGAATGTCCCTTGTTCCTGGACTTAATGGATTCACTTTCAATGTGTAGGGAGCGTAGAGAATGGAGAAGGGACAGAAAGGCTTTGTATTCCATTCTTCTGCACTGAGTGGATTTTTAGGGAGAAGTTACCTGAATGGGGGTCCAAACATGTCTAAATCCTAATTGTGTTAGTGCGGTCAACACACTGGGGGCTAACGGTGAGGTCAGATGTGCAATGAGTCAGCAACTTTGGGTAGTTTCACTGTAGTGACTGTAATTAGATGGATGAACTTTAGAAAGGTTTGAGTAGCCAAACTTTGTAAAACTTGGAAATCCAGAATTTTCATGGCGGAAATCCCATTAAAGTCAAAGCGGACACAGGCACCAGGAACCCGGCTCTAAAAAAAAAAAGTCTATTACAGAACAGCAAATTATACAAGATTGTGCAGAATGGTCTAGGAAGCTTCCTGCAGCCTGGTCTGATGGAATGATGGAGCCAAAAAACAGCCTGAGCCACTTCCTTTAACAATTGTACAAGGTACACTAGGATAAAACAGTCTCAGGAAGAGTGGGACCTGCTGGCACTGGTAGTCAATCTAAGGAAAGGTGGGAACTGGTGGGACTGGGAGTCAATCTAAGGAAAGTTGGGACCTTGTGGAACTGGAAGCTAATTATGGAAGGGTGAAACCTGGTGGATCTGGCAGTCAATCTAAGAAAGAAGAGACCTGATGCGACTGGAATTAAACTTATGGAAGTGTGGGGTCACAAAAGTGTGAAGAATGGTTTTGGAAGCTTCTAACAGCCCAGCCTGATGTGATGATGGGGCCCAAAAAAAAACACCATGTCCTTTAAAAATTCTGCCAGGGACACTGAGATAGAAGGATAGGGCCTGGTGGTATTGGCAGTCAAGGTGAGAATGGGTGGGACCTGGTAGGAATGGCAGTCAAGGTGAGGAAGTGTGGGACCTGGTGGAACGGGCAGTCAAGCTATGGTAGGATGGGACCTGGTAGGAATGGCAGTCTAGGTAAGAAAGGGCGGGACCTGGTAGCAATGGCAGTCAAGCTAAAAAAGGGTGGGACCTGGTGGCAATGGCAGTCAAGCTAAAGAAGGGTGGGACTTGGTGGCACTGGCAGTCAAGGTAAGAAAGGGTGGGATCTGGTAGGACTGGCAGTCAAGGTAAGAAAGGGTGGCACTGGTGGCACTGGCAGTCAAGGTAAGAAAGGGTGGGACCTGGTAGGATTGGCAGTCAAGCTAATGAAGGGTGAGACCTGGTGGCACTGGCAGTCGAGCTAAAGAAGGGTGGGACTTGGTGGCACTGGCAGTCAAGGTAAGGAAGGGTGGGACCTGGCAGCAGTGGCAGTCAAGGTGAGGAAGGGTGAGACCTGGCAGCAGTGACAGTCAAGGTGAGGAAGGGTGGAACCTGGTAGCACTGGCAGACAAACTTAAGAAGTGGGAACTGGTGGCATTGGCAGTCAAGCTAAGAGCACTCAGAGAACAGCTGATGCACCTATAAGGCAGAAACAACATTTGGAGCAGACTTCAGTCCCTTTCTTTTCATCTTGTTGGAACCCGAACTGCCAAAAAAAGTTCCGGCATTCATTCCAATAAATGGAGAATAACCTCCAATCATCAAATATTACAAAGAGACCTTCTCTTACCATGTAGAGACAAACACTTCAACCAAACATATCATTACACATGTTCCTGTCAAAGGGTTTCAATGATATCTACAACATTGTTATTTTTAGTTTTGGATACAAAGGAAGGTTTAAAACCCCTGAAAAGTGTAATGATGTATTAATAATTACCGAGCTGCATTCATATGTGTCTCTTATACCTGCCCAAAATCCAGTTTAAAAAAAGTGCTCGATGGACCACAAGGTCTTTTTATTCTACACCTCCATGGTGTCACTATTTATAGCAATGCAGTTAAATGACTTTAGTGACCACTATAATAAAATGACATTGGCACTTTCCCGTCAATGGATAATCATTGCCTCAGTCCCAGCTTTAAACACTGCAAAGCGATCAAACACCTTAGTGTTGCCATAAAAGCACCGCAAAGAATTCAGAAAATTCCGTCAGCAACGTTTTGACAACGGGAGACAACTTTTGCCTGCAGCAATGGAGCGGATACAGTGGACCCCCCACCGTAATTACTAAAGCTGATGAGAGGCAAACAAAGGCCTCTAAAATAACGTGTACAGGAATTCACAAACATGAATGCATGCCATTCACAGGACCCTGAT